CTGGCCTGCTTCAGGACATCCTGTAAGCCTGTGTACTTATGCACAAAGCGTTGTACGATCAGATTACACACATGTGCCATGCACGGCACATGTGTCAACTTCCCAACTTCAATGCCGCTAACAAATTTGTTCCGTTGTCACAAACCACTTTGCCGATATCCAGTCGCTGCGGAGTCAGCCACTTTTCCACCTGTGCGTTCAGGGCGGACAGGATTGCTTGTCCGGTGTGACTCTCTGCTTTCAAGCCCAAGACACGTGGAACTGCCGTATCTGGGATGTGGAATAGTACCTGGGGGGGTGCCGTTGATGTGGAGCAAGACACAGCAGCAGAAGAGGACTCAGCCGAGGAGGTTATGGAAGAGGATGGAGTAGGAGGAGTAGAGGAGGTGGCAGCAGGACTGCCTGCAAGTCGTGGCGGTGTCACCAACTCCTCTGCAGAGCCATGCATTCCATGCTTGGCAGCAGTCAGCAGGTTTACCCAATGCGCAGTGTAGGTGATATTCATATTCACTGCTATTCAATCTATAACAGTGAAAAAAGTTTTTTGTTTTTAAATGCAAGCTATTGTGACACCCGATATGAGTGAGTGGTGGCACTGACTGGGCAAATGGGCACCGTATCCACTGTGAGCCTGACACACCCGCTTTAAGGACACTGACTGCTATTTAATCTATAACAGTGAAAAAAGTTTTTTGTTTTTTAAATACAGCTATTGTGACACCAGATATGGTGAGTGGTGGCACTGGGCTCGGCATGTCCACTGTGAGCTTAACACACCCAGCTTTAAGGACACTGACTGCTATTCAATCTATAACAGTGAAAAAGATTTTTTATTTTCATCTTCAGAAGCTATTGCTGACACCAGATATGAAGGTGGGTAATTTGGCACTGGGCACAGTATCACTGTGAGCCTGACACACCCGCTTTAAGGACACTGACTGCTATTCAATCTATAACAGTGAAAAAAGTTTTTTGTTTTTAATTGCAAGCTATTGTGACACCAGTGAGTTAGTGGTGGCACTGACTGGGCAAATGGGCACAGTATCCACTGTGAGCCTGACACAGAAGCTGGCAGCAGTGGCAGACAATTAACTGCTATTCAATCTATAACAGTGAAAAAAGTTTTTTGTTTTTAAATGCAAGCTATTGTGACACCAGTGAGTGAGTGGTGGCACTGGGCACAGTATCACTGTGAGCCTGACACACCCGCTTTAAGGACACTGACTGCTATTCAATCTATAACAGTGAAAAAAGTTTTTTGTTTTTAATTGCAAGCTATTGTGACACCAGTGAGTTAGTGGTGGCACTGACTGGGCAAATGGGCACAGTATCCACTGTGAGCCTGACACAGAAGCTGGCAGCAGTGGCAGACAACTGACTGCTATTTAATCTATAACAGTGAAAGAAAAAGTTTTTGTTTTTAAATGCAAGCTATTGTGACACCAGATGAGTAGGTAGCACTGACTGGAGACAAATGGGCACTGTATCCCACTGTGAGCTTAACACACCGCTTTAAGGACGCGGCTGCTATTCAATCTATAACAGTGAAAAAAAGAGTTTTTGTTTTAAATGCAAGCTATTGTGACACCAGATGTATGAGTGAAGGTAGCACTGACTGGGCTAAATGGGCACCGTATCCACTGTGAGCTTAACACACCCGCTTTAAGGACACTGACTGCTATTCAATCTATAACAGTGAAAAAAGTGTTTTGCTTTTAAATGCAAGCTATTGTGACACCAGATATGAGTGGTGGCACTGACTGGGCAAATGGGCACAGTATCCACTGTGAGCCTGACACAGAAGCTGGCAGCAGTGGCAGACAACTGACTGCTATTCAATCTATAACAGTGAAAAAAGTTTTTTGCTTTTAAATGCAAGCTATTGTGACACCAGATATGAGTGGTGGCACTGCTGCAATTACATTAAAAAAAAAAAAAAAAAATGCATACCCTAACCCTTAGCTAGCTATGCATTTCCCTATCTAATCAACAGCAGCTACACTTTCCCTCCTCTCACTAAGCATGCAGCTTAAGAATGAATGTAAAATGGATGCCTTCCAGTAGGTGGGAGGGTCTGCTAGGGAGGGTGTGCTGCTAATTGGCTGGAATGTGTCTGCTGACTGTGAGGTACAGGGTCAAAGTTTACTCAATGATGACGAATAGGGGGCGGATCGAAACGCGCATGTGTTCGCCTTCCGCGGCGGACGCGAACATGCTATGTTCGCCAGGAACTGTTCGCCGGCGAACCGTTCGGTGCATCACTATTGGCAATGACCCCATTTGTTATTCCTTAATTATTTTATTAATAATTTAATAAAGCTGTGGACTAATTATTTCCAACAGTATAACCTGTGTCCGTGTTTTAATGGGGGTGTGGGTAAGGTTAGCGCATATGCCGACAAATCCGACTGTGCGCCTGTCAAGCACCAGGACTAAATTTCTAGCTGCCGTAGCGACTTGACGCCTGGGATTTGTCCAGCCCTGGTGTAGCGGATGCATTTTTTGAATAGTGAAGGCAATGTGTGTATATAGTGGATGCAGAGTGTGTTTAGTGGATGCAATGTGTGTGTAGTGGATGCAGTGTGTGTATAGTGGATGCACTGTGTGTATACTGGATGCAGAGTGAGTTTACTGGATGCACTGCGTGTATAGTGGATGCAGTGTGTGTGTGTAGTGGATGCAGTATGCATGTAGTGGATGCAGTGTATGTTTAGTGGATGCATTGGCGGATCCAGGGGGGGGCAACGGGGCAATTGTCCCCCCCGAGATTCCACCCTGCCGGCTAACACAGGGCTGGCATTGCCCAAGTGCCAGCCCTGCAATGTGCCTGTGGACCGGGGAGGAAGATCAGAGATCTCCCTCCTCGGTCCGCAGGCACCGTGCTGACAGCCGGCGGCAGCGGAGGGAGTGAGAGAGAGGACCCAGAGCTCAGCCTGCAGCTCCTCCGGGTCCTCCTCTCTTGAGATTTGGAGCGTTGCCGCGGTTATCACGGCAATGCTCCAAATCTTGCGAGAGTGAACTCTAGCCCGGGAGCGCGGACTAGAGTTCACTCTCACCACTGGGACCACCAATGAATCCCCCACCGGACCACCAGGGAAATGTCCCCCCTCCTCCTAAATAAAGGTAAGAAGGGAGGGGGGACATAAATAAATAAAAAAATTATTATTATTAAAAAGCCTCTCCCCCCCCCATTACACACACTGCCCCCCCATTACACACACATTGCCCCCCTATACACACAGTGCCCCCCATTACACACACTGCCCCATTACACACACTGCCCCCCCATTACACACACTGCCCCATTACACACACTGCCCCCCATACACACAGTGCCCCCCATTACACACACACTACCCCACAAACACTGCCCCATACACACAGCCAACCCCACAAAACACTGTCCCCATACACCACACTGCCCCCATACACACACTGCCCCTAAAACACTGCCCCCATATACACACTGCCCCACAAACACTGCCCCCATTACACACACTGCCCCCATTACACACACTGCCCCATTACACACATACTCCACCACTACACACACTGCCCCATTACCCAAACACTGCCCCCATACACACACTGCCCCACAAACACTGTCCCCATACACACACTGTCCCCATACACACACTGTCCCCCATACACACACACTGCCCCACACACACTGTCCCCATACACACTGCCCCACACACACTGTCCTCATACACACACTGACCCCCATACACACACTGCCCCCCATACACACACTGCCCATACACACACTGCCCCACAAACACACACTGCCCCCATACACACACTGCCCCCCATACACACACTGCCCCACAAACACTGTCCCCATACTCACACACTGCCCCAAAAACATATACAGTGCCCCCATACATACACTGCCCCCTAACACACACACTACAACCCTGACATACACTGCCGCACTCACACACTTCACCCTTAACACACACCACTGCTCCTATACCCTATATCCCAGCAGACCCCAGGTAAGTTGTCAAACTGTTCTTAAACGGTATGACTACTTACTCTGGGGTGGAATCCTGGCACTACTGACACCATAGCTACTACACTGAGCTGTAGTGGTTATTGTGCCTGGATTATTTATTTAAATAATCTACAAGTGCCCCTCCCGAGATCAGGCTCTGGATCCGCCACTGAGTGGATGCAGTGTGCATGTAGTGGATGCAGTGTTTGTGTAGTGGATGCAGTGTGTGAATATATGTGGGTAGGATAGGGGCGGCATTCTCTTAGCAATAAGCTCCTTTTTTTTAGTAAAAATAAAATAATAATTGTATTCCCCTCTCCCTATCTCTTACCTGTGGCCATTGGCGCCTTCATGCATTACATCTCGCAATCCTACTTTGTCATATATAAAATCTTTGGATTACATTGTAATTTTAATGAAATTCCCACTCAGCCAGCATTAGTATTTCATAAAGATTATATATCTTAATGAAATATTGAAAAGTGACAGAACCACTTTAAGATGCAAGGGACATAAGCAACCGAAAACCATAAAAGAGAAAAACAATGACAATGCTGCGTTAAGTGGAGCTTTCCGAGGGCTCGCAAACTGGTTTAAATTTTTGTTTGTGCTGAGTCTAAAGCAGTTTGTAATTATTTAGCTGATATTTCAAGTTCTACTGTACACTGATGATTGGACAGTTTACATATAAGGAATTTACACAGTTTGCATACTTCTCAAACCAGAGCAAGGCATCAGCTGATCGCTCTTGGCCAATGAGCTTCACCACTGGGGCTTACGGTTTGACTACTTACATGGAGGGGTGGAGCCTGGGCTCTCCTGGCACCATAACCTCTAGAGCATGCTATTGTGGTTATGGTGCTTGGAATAATACTTTAATCAACTACAATTCACGTAACCCTTAACAGTTTTAATTTGTCTTTCACATATATAGATTTTTTTTAGATTTGGTTTTATATGTGGACAATAATATTTTTTATTTTTTTTTAATATATAGAAGCACATCAGAGAAAGTATATTTTGGTGACAGAGCCACTTTAACATAGGAAACTATACTTGATGGAACATGTTTTAGGAACAATCATGGCACCTACAACTTCTCAAACATATACAATTTATAGATTTATCAATATATTTGTTTATGCTGCCACTTGCAATCTATGTTATGAAGTAAACAGAGATAATTTACGTAAATGTAACTGGTGCAGAGAAATTCCATATGATAAAACTGGGTATTTTTGTTTATTTGAATTAATTATTAATTTTCCTTTCAGAAGAAGATCAGATGACAAGTAATATGAACTTTCAAGACTCTTTTAATAGTATGTGCTGTATCAAATATTATCTGTTTTGGGTTTTGTTCAATTTAGCTTCTGACAAATTGAATAGGTTTCCCCCTTCCACAATGAAACTTTTGCAAAGGTCAGTACAGATGGCAAATTGAGTGTGCATATTATTTGATTAGCTTTTTATCCCCAGACCAGTAACGATCCAGTGCAAAGTCCAGTTGTTCTATCTGCTTGCAGACATGTAGTAACCCACCAATTTTTCTCACTATTTAAATTTGTCTCTGTCCAATGGTAAGTACCAGTCTGCAGGGGGTTTCTTTCTGAGTCTCCCCACTGGAAGATAACTTTGTTTCTCGTTGAGTCTACTACTTTCACTCTGTCGTAGAGCTTCCTTGGCCTCATTGCTAGCAGTTGCCTCCCAGTCTTTGCAGCTTTTATAGTCTATTTTCCACTGCTGGCACTCGGACGCTATCCCATGGGTGTAGTAGTTGTGGAAGCGGTTGCTCAAGCTTCGGCAGTGCTTCCATTCAATCCAGTAATCACTGCAGTCCCTCGGAGGCCTCCAAGTGTCCCTGTCAGCCATGCTTCTTTCACTTCCCACAAAGCATGGACGATAATATTTTAAAATCCAAAACTCATTTTAAGAATGTTGATGTTAATAGTTGTATTCTTAATCTCAAATTGCCATCATCTCCCATGGCTGAATAATGTCCCTTTTGGACAATTCCAAAGAATAATAAAGAATTGTACGGAGAGAGAAATATGTACAGAACAAATAAAAAAAATTAGGGATTCAGTTTGAGGAAAAAGAATATGACCAGAATCTACTGAAGGAATCTATAGAAAGAGTAAACAAGTTAGATAGATCATCTCACCATCAGATCTCTCTCCCCTTGTCTTGTGTCTTCCTTAACACACATCTTCAGTTGCTCTCTCTTCTAGCGTTGTCCCTGCTGACCTTAAACATGCCACTGTTGTACCTATTATTAAAAAACATATCTTGACCCATCCTCCCCCTCTAACTATTGTCCCATAACCCTGCTCCCTTTTTCCTCAAAGCTTCTGGAAAGACTTGTCTTTACCCGTATGTCCTCAATTCCAACTCTCTCCTTGACCCTCTACAATCTAGTTTCTGCCCTCTCCACTCTACTGAGACCGCTCTTATCAAAGTTACTAACAACCTAATCGCAGCTAAATCCAAAGGCCACTACTCCATACTAATTCTTCTTGGCCTCTCTGCTGCCTTTGAAACCATTGATCATGCTCTCCTTCTTCAAACTCTTCAATCACTCGATCTCTGTGACTCTGTCCTCTTGTGGTTTTCCTCTTATCTCTCCCAACACTCATTCAGTGTCTCCTTTTCTAATGATGCCTCCTTCCCTCATCCTGTCTCGGTTGGAGTCCCCCAAGGCTCTGTCCTTCGTCCCCTTCTATTTTCTCTTTATACTGCCTCTCTTGGCAAACTTATTACATCATTTGGATTCCACTACCACCTGTATGCTGATGACACCCAGATGTACCTCTCCTCCCCAGACCTGTCCCCTGCCATCCTGCAACATGTCACTGCTTGCCTTTCTCCCATCTCTGACTGGATGTCAGCTTTCTGAAACTCAATCTTTCTAAAACTGAGCTCCTTGTCTTTCCACCTCCTAATTCTGATTCTCCTCCTTTGCTCTCCCTTCATCTTAGTGATATCCACATAAGTCCATCCTTGCAAGCGCACTGTCTTGGCGTTATACTTGATTCTGGCCTCACCTTTGAGCCTCACATCCAGTATGTTGCCAAATCTTGTAGATTCCATCTTAAAAACATAGCCTGCATCCACCCCTTTCTTACGCAAGATGCTACCAAGGAGCTTGTCCATGCTCTAGTCATTTCCCGCATGGATTATTGTAACCCTCTCCTAACTGGTCTTCCCAAAAGCTGTATTGCCCCACTACAGTCTGTAATGAATGCTGCCGCCAGACTGATTTTCCTCTCTAGTCGGTCCTCTAACACTCTGTCAGTCCTTACATTGGCTTCCTGTATCCTCTAGGAGTCAATTCAAAGTGCTAACCCATACCTATAAAGCACTGAACAATTCTAACTCCTCTTATATCTCTTCACAGATCCATAGGTATGGTCTCTTGACTCTGCCTGTGACCTTCGCCTGTCCGCTGCTCTCACCCGTACGGCCAACTCAAGCTTGCAGGACTTCTCGCGGGCTGCTCCCTTCCTATGGAATAGCCTGCCTACTGCCATCAGACTCTCCCCTAGTCTTCAATCGTTTAAGAAGTGCCTTAAAACCCATCTCTTTAGAAAAGCTTATGGCCTCCCAGAGTAACCTCTACCTCACATACCTGTCTCTTGCTCTCTCCTAAAGGCCAGCATTCTACTCTCTCCACCAGCTCTGCTTCTCTCCCACCTTGTTTGATTATTTCCAGTCCTATTGTGTTTTATAACCCACCTCCTATAGCAGGTTTCCCCAAACTCCGGCCTTCCAGATGTTGCTGAACTACAACTCCCATGATTCTCAGCCTATCTATATCATTCATAATATCATGGGAGTTGTAGTTCAGCAACATCTGGAGGTCTGGAGTTTGGGGAAGCCTGTCCTATAGACTGTAAGCTTGTTTGAGTAGGGTCCTCTTCAACCTATCGTTCCTGTAAGTTTTCTTGTAATTGTCCTATTTATAGTTAAATCCCCTCACTCATAATACTGTTAAGCGCTACGGAATCTGTTGGCGCTATATAAATGGTGATAATAATAATAAAATAATTGAAACACTTAAGGCATAGTTCTTCCTGTGGAGACCACCAGACATTACCTATAATGGAGTGCTGCCACTTATGCTGTACTGTGAAGATCGCGATAATCAACACTTGGATAGAGCTTTACCCATATTTCTACTGTTTAATTTATTTTATTACTCGGGGAAAGCTCCGCATATACAATACTTTATATTCCAGACATATTAAGAGAGACTTGTTTACGGCTAATCCGTTTCATGGAGGAATTACAGTTTAACTTCGATAATAGGATCTGGTGCCCAGTTGGCAAGTAGACTTTCTAATCTTGGGTGTTGATTATATTGTTATATTGCGGCTGCTTTGATTATTATTTGTTTCATTATTTATTAATTAATCCACTTGTTTATTGCTAATTGGCTATCTCCCACCAATGTGTGCAGCACTTATTAGGTGGTCTCTATTACTACTGCTCATTTTAGGATCAATTTTGTTATACATTTCCTTATTTTTATATTTGTTTTATTAATTATGATATCAATAAATTGTATACTTTGACAAGCCCCACACCTTCCTGTTATTATGAATGCACCATTTTATTAGTCACCTCTATAGATTGTAAGCTTGCTTGAGCAGGGCCTTCTTCACCTTTTGTCTCTGGTATATTCCGTATGTAAATTACTTCTCGTCAAATATCCCCATATTAGAATTGTAAAGCAATGCGGAATATAATGACGATATATAAATATTATTATTTGTGGATTTCGCTGCTATTTTTTTAATGCCTTTGTTCCTGAAATAAGCTCTTTATAATTTCTTTTTTTAAGTAGTTTATTTTTGTACCTTTAATTTTATCAGTCTTGCTTAATTTTGTTCAGCTTGTGTGTTTTTCAATGTCTATGTGACATCCCTCCCTATCTCCCCTCCCTGTTTCTAAATACTCTTTCCCTATATGCTTAACATTCCGATTATTAATAAGATTCGACTGTGGCGAAATGCGTCAAGTTGCTTCAGCTCTCCCTCACAGATGCCACCATCTTTCCCTTGGTATCCATTCCCTTGTTCCTTTTGCCCATCAGCTCTATGGATGACCCCACTACACCACGGCAACCTCCACAGAAGTACTTTCACGATGTGTCAGAAACTGCCTTTTCCCTCATGGTAGTAGAAGCTTTGCTTTTTGTGAAATGCACAGTGGTCTGGGTGCTGTGTCCCTTTTGCACCTAGTGTTGCAATGTAAAACAATGCAGTTCCAGAGAACTGCAATGTTTACATTGCAGCTCTAAGTCTGCCCTCAGTGGCTGTTATGTGACGCTGGACGTCCTCATGCTCTGCTTTCCTATGGCGAGGTCTAATTTGACGCACATGCACATTAGACCCCACTCATTGCGGGGCGGAGGAGGGGGCAGAGCTTCGACCCATCGCTAAGGGACATCGGCGCTGGGATCAGGTAAGTAAAATAAAGGGTTTTTAACTAATGAAGAAGCCTCCTGACTGCAGGAGCCACTATAGATATTGTCTTGTAATCAGTGAAATACCTTTCCACCACTGCAGTCATTAGTAACAGCTGGTGGAATTGACAAAACTTGAAGGCAGAGCTCCACCTGTCAAGAGAGAAAATATATAAGAAAAAGTAGTAGTGACTACTGCAAAGTGAAATTTCTACACAGTCCGTATTTGTATTTCATAAAGAATGGATCTGTACAGTATGAATTACTCATTGAGGGGAAGGGCTTGAAAGAGCCACTTGAACAGCTTTTACATCAGTTGAATTCGTCATGTTACGCTACTTTGACACTAGGTGGCGCTGTATTCCATGTTATGTAAGGAAATGCTGCTATGTTTCATAAGTTCCCACGTTCCATTTAGAACCGTACACACAGCTTATTATGTCCGGGGGAACAGCGCTGGTGCAGGGGGCAAGCAGAGGGATTGGACTCCAGTTCTGTAGGTACTTGGTTCTTTCCAGATACGAAATCAATGTTATAGCAACCTGCAGGAACCCCGAGGCAGCCACAGAGCTGCAAGAATTCCAAAGGGAGTATCCTAAAGCACTTCGGATCATGAAAATGGATGTAACCAGGGGGCCTGATATTCAGCACACAGCAGAGAAAGTCAAGGAAGAATTCGGTAGCCTGGATCTCCTGATTAACTCCTCGGCAATGCTTCATCCCAGTGGCAAGGGTGAGACTAGCCTCAGGGAGGTCACTGCCGAGGTGAGCACTTTAAAAAAAATAAAAAAAAATACTTCATTAAAACCCATTCCTCTTTCATTCAAACTGCTTGGTCCATGGATTGTGTTGTTTTTAAATTCCAGTATATATTTATTTAACCCAAGGGGAAAGGACATCTGAGAGTGACTGTCCACCTGCTATTCATTAACCTGTTGCTTAGGTAAATTAAAATACTGTCTTCAATTAAAGGGACACTGTAGGGACCCAGACCATTTCAGCTCATTGAAGTAGTCTGGGTGCAAACTCCCATCACCCTAACCCTGAGCATGTAATTATTGCAGTTTTTATAAACTGCAATAATTACCTTGCAGGGGTTAACTCCTCCTCTGGTGGCTGTCTACCAGATAGCCACTAGAGGGACTTCCGGGTGTATAGGCGACTTTTGGTCGCCTAAATGACATTGGACGTCCTCACACTATGCATGAGGACTTCCAGCATCACCGGAATCCCCATAGGAAAGCATTGAATAATGCTTTCCCATGGGGAAATCCTAATACGAGCGCCACCATTGCTGTGCATGCGCATTAGGTCTCCCCAGCAAGCCGACGTGTTGGGGGAGGAGTGTGGGCGGAGCTGAGACAACGCCGAGGGACATTGGTGCTGGACCCAGGTAATTGACACTAGGGGTTATTAACCCCTTCTGCACTGCAGGGGGTGGAGTGGGGGCTTTTGACAGAGGGCGAAGCTATAGTGTCAGGAAAACAAGTTTGTTTTCCGGGCACTATAGTTGTCCTTTAAAGGACCTGTGATATCACTAGATATCTAATACATATATATGATTTATTTTAATTCTTTATTTCTGCATGTAAAATACATAGACTTAATGCAAGTGATATAACCGCATAGTTTTTCACAGAATGAAAAGGGGCTGATAGCCCAAAACAACAATTATTTTTTAAAATTCATTATCTATGTAATGCATTAAACAACAGGAGGGTGTTTTCTATTTTTGTTTTCCTGTACAGTTCTGCCTTGCAACATTTTTATTGTGTATACTTCAGGGCAGCCCTTTTTAAGTGCTGTCTGTCACTATGTGCTTTGTGACTAGGAAAATATGATTCATATTGTGCTAATTACATTTGGAGATATGTCATGGTTGCTAAAATAAAGGGCATCATAACGGTTACCGGAAAACACAGCAGAAGCCACACATAGAGAGATGGACACAATTCTTCAGGAAGTAACAGGACTTTTATTTACACACCGATCGGGTCTCAGATGAACTCCTGTTCTAAAAATATCTGAGAGCCAGAGCACAGATTGCAGAAGCTTTTTGTTAGCAGCATATCCCCTCCCATACAGTATAACCCCTCCTATATTCCTCAGACCAATCCGCAAACAGGATATTCAGGATCACCTTATATGGGCAGACCACATGGTTCATCTGAGACAAAGGAATGTGCTTTCCACTTCCGCACATGCTCAGTACACTGACTCATCCAACTGTTTGTAATCAGATACTAATTAGCATATGCCATGTGGAGATTTTGGCCTACTAAATTTTGACCATGCTGGAATCCCATCACATAACCACTACAGCAATTGTCACAGTGCCTAGAGTGCTCCTTTAGTGTCCGCTGACAATCCCAGCCAAAGAATTGCATAATACTGATATGAATATGCCAAACTTTCACTTTGGTATATCTGTGCATTCTTGAAGGACCCCTGAAGCATTTCAGCATCAGGAAAGTGTCAGACCATGCCTAAACACTTTGACAGTGGCTGTGCCAAGCAGAGACATCTTAATGCAAGGGCACACTGGGCAGTTTTCCGGGGGCCCCGTGGACTTGCCAACGTTTCTGTATATTATTTTTGGAGATTTCAAGCCAATTCTAAAGCAATTCTCTGCAAAGACATTTTGCAAAGTTTTGTGTTGAACACTTGATTAATAATAAATGATGCATAGTAATTTCATACTCTGCAATCTTCGTCTGTATGATTTACCAACTGAGCACCATTTTTATGTTGAATTTCTTGTTTTTTAACTTCAAAGCTCATGCTATATTGTCCAAATATTTGTGTGGACTAATCTCTGCTGTACAGCATGTTTTTTTTTTAATGTTTAAAAGCTGATTATGTTGGAGGTACCAATAAATATAAGCTTAATTTTATCGATTTAATTTAAATTTTTATTCTTGTGAGAGGTTGTGTAGGCAGGGCCGCAGTGCACTGCTTTGCCCGGGGTTCTATAATGCTGTTAAGGGGACCCTGGCACCATAAAATACAGCACTGTAGTGTAGGGGTGTTAAAAGTATCCCATGTATTTCTTATTCCCTTGCACATTATTCAATAAACACTGAATTGCTTCCAAATCACTTGAATTTTTAAAACTTATTAGTGGTATATTTTAGTTACCTTTTTGCACATACTCCTAGAAATGTATACATTTGGGCCTGTAACAACCCTTTTGTTACAGCTATCTCTCAGCTTTGAAACTATATTTAAGATCATATGTTCAGCTATTATGTGTAACAGTGTTTCTGTTTCCATTTATGATGCAGATAATACAGCGTAGTAAACATTGCTTCTTCCCCCTCCTCCCCCTTCTCTCCCAGGATCTGTCTTTGACAATTGCTACAAACACCATAGGACCACTGATGATGGCTAAATATTTTGCACCACTGTTATTGAGAGGAACAGGAGCTTTTGGAGCTGAAGCTTCTGACAAGTCGAGGCAGCACCGAGCAATTCTTGTGAATATGAGTGCTAAAGTAGGCTCGATAGAGGACAATGGTAAGATAATTTAGAATTTTTATAAATGTGCTTTATACTTGGGAACATTATTTTTTAATAATTATAACCAAAAAACAATATTTTTCGATTTATTTACTTATTGTTACTCATAGACTATATAGCTAAGTACTATAATGCTAAATCTTGACTTGTGAGTAGGGTCATACTTTCCTTTTGTATGGTCTGTATTCTGTACCATTTATTTCCCCATTTGTACGGCACTGCAAAATATGTCCGGGTTTTACAGATATTAATCATAATGACTAGATGTGAGCAGTTCATCTAGTCCTGAAACAAATTTCGTTTAATTTTAGTGATTTTTTTTTCCTGTTTGGCTGTTAACATAAATATCTTTAAGGTTAGTATATCTTACATTATTATCGCGATTATTTATAAATGCATTATATATTTATAAATTATTGATCCAATTAATTAATATACTTCTAGCCCTAGGTGGATGGTACAGCTACCGATTGTCTAAAGCAGCTCTAAACATGGTCACCAAGAACCTCTCCATTGAGCTGGGAAGAGGAAAGAACAAAGTGATCTGCGTTTCCTTGCATCCTGGATCTGTGGACACAAACTTGTCTCGGCCTTACCATAAAAATATTCAGAGGGAGAAACTGTTCACGACTGAGCAATCTGTGTTTTGTCTAATGAACATCATTGAAACTCTAAATTTAGATAAAACTGGGAAGTTTTTCTCATGGAATGGTTCTGAACTTCCTTGGTGATATTGTTTTTACATGATATATGTATATGTTTAGGTAATACATTTAATATAGCACTCCTTATAATATTTGGAAGTTCGTGCTGTCACATCATTTTAATCCAAGCTATTTTTCTTAATGCTTTGTTCAGGAAACAAGTGTATAATAACTTTGTTTGTTTGTTCATAAAAGGAGTCTTGTACTCTGAAATCTTAAATCAGCGCTGTCACTGTCGAGGGACTTTGCATAATTTGAAGAAAAAAAACAAAACAATATTGACATCACTGCTGAAGGTCTGGTGGCCAGGCAAAGGTGAGTTTAACTTGCCTTAACCTGTCCCTCGCGGGCGCCACCATCTTCTTCCAGTTGGTCCTCTTCTGCGAGAAAAGAGCATTGAGATCTACATGGGGGGGTCTCTTGAGATCAAGGAATCCTGCATAGACAGAGCTAATTCCCTGAAAACGTCGCTGGTGACAGCAGGTCACACTTCTAGATGACTGTAGCTCCACCCAGTGACTAGGCGTAGGTAATATTTTGAGACTCCGTAGTCCATACTTTGTCTTTTGACTAAGTTGGAATTTCAGTGAAATTCCAACACCCAAAAATCAACTCAGGTTCTTGTGTCAATACACTGAGGGGGACTTTGTGCGGCGGAAAATACAATTTTTATCAGACTTTGTGAAAATGATTTGAGAACAAAAAACAGTGCGACTGCATGTATAGTCATTGTATCCAACAAAAAAAACCCTACAATAAGCTGTAGTAATTTTGTATCGGTATGTGTATATTGTCAGATTTTCATTTTTTTGGACACCCCTGACTCCCCTTGTTTGCAGCTGCCATTACAAATACTTCCCTAACTGTCTGGGCAGGTAAATCCAGACCAGTAGGCAGGGCAATGAGAGGGCATTGACAGTGATTTGATCTGCCTCACTAGCAATGCCAATAATGAGCAAGCTGGCAGCCCACAACCTTTAGTATTCCCTGCACAGTTCTAGAGGTCATTGCTCCTCGCCAGAGCATCAAATGATGCGCTGTGCTGTCCCGAATGCTGGGCACCAGGGAATAGCGGCAGGTCAGGACTTCAAAATTGGGACTTTCCGTCCGAAAAGCAACATTTTAAGAGCAAGAGGAACAGATATGTTATTTTTTAGTGCATCTTGTTGAAAATTACCAGATTTTACTAATTACATGACGTAAAGTCATGATTTTATTAAGGACATGGAGGCCAGTTTTAGGCTTATCTTTCTTTTATTCCTCAAGGTATTCATAGTATAGAAAAAATGAACAAATACAGGGTTAATCATTACATCACTATATCTTAGCCTATGGGAACAGTCCACATATATACTCCCATGTGACCCCCATCTCTTCCTCTTTCCTGTTGATGCCGAAGCTAATAATCAATGACAACGACTAACAAATTAACTTAATCAAACACAAAAACAGGTGGGTAGCCAAGGTCTTGGCGACGAATCCTTCCAAGAGAAAACTATTGAATAATAATAATAATATTGAACTATTAACCCATATAATCAGTCATATTTAAATAAGACATTTATTAGGTAACCATCTGTTAGACTCATAATAGCAAAGCAGTAAAGACGACAAATTTCTCCATGTACAATCAGTACTTATTAAGTACCTGGGTTGGGATACAAAACTCCAAACGTATCATTTCTGGGTGGGCTTATACTTGCCTCCGTGTCCTTAATAAAATCATGACTTTACGTCATGTAATTAGTAAAATCTGGTAATTTTATTAAAGGACACATAGGCTCTTATTAGGCTAGTTCAGAGCTGTGAAATAACCATAGATGAAACGTTCTGTAGGTCGAAAATAATATTCTCTAAACGTAGATTCACAAGACCAATCTGCTGTTCTAAGAAGATCTTCCAATCTACAGCCCAAATTGAAAACCTTTGAAGCCATGGCTCCTCTAGTAGAGTGAGCGCCATACATAGATGTGTCTTTGTTGGCCGAAGTCATTATCCATTTCACCCAGCGGGCTAGCGTCACTGTAGATACAGGGTGATGGGGCATTTTGGTAGCCAAAAACAACTCCTGATGTATCGGACTCCTGAATCCCAGGGTTCGTTTTTTGTATTCCTGTAGACAAGCGACCAGGCAGAGATTAACATTATGTGGAAATGAAGGATAGTAAACCGAGGTAATCGACTTTGTACGTCTGGAAATGTTGAATGACACTCCCGTAGAGGTAAAGGAGCGTGCATCTATGTCTAATGCTCAAACATCTGAAACCCTTTTGCAAGATATCAGGCAGAGAAGCATGGCCAGTTTTGCTGACAGCTGTTTAAGCATGAGTCCCTCATTCCGTGGCCAAGATTCCAATAAACGGAGGACCAGGTTCACATCCCACAACGACGTGTATCGAGGCTGAGTTGGTCGAGCAAATTTTATCCCTTGTAGGAGTCGGCACACCAGCAGCTGTTGACCAGCCGGAGTCCCATCTAGACCCTGATGGCCAGCAGAGATCGCCGATCTATAGACGTTAATGGTGCGGTAAGCCAATCCTTGGTTATACAGATTGGTAAGGAAACATAACAGGTAGTTCACAGGAGCATATACGGGATCCACTTGTTGTTCCATGCACCAACTACTCCATCCGTTCCAGGCATAGTGGTAGGATAATCTTGTTCCAGGTGCCCATGCTCCTGCCAGTAGGTCGAGAGTCTCTTGTGGAACATCTGGTATGACCCAGGGTCCCCGGAAAGGAGCCACGCTAAGAGTCTGAGATTCCCCTGAATCAGAAGGGGGTGTGGATTGCACTCTGGATTGAGTAAAAGGTGTGAGACATTGGGTAGTAATCTCAGAAGGTCAATGGACATCTCCATGAGTGACAGAAACCAAGGTTGAGCAGTCCAGAATGGAGTTATGAGGACTAACGATGTTTGAGCGCGTCTGAGATGTACTAGTGTCCGAGCCATTAGGGAGAAAGGAGGAAATGCATACAATCGACTTCTCGGCCAGTGTTGGAGGATGGCATCCGCTGCTAGAGCGTCTGGGTCTGGTCTCCAGCTGAAGAACGTTGGTAATTGGGAGTTCAAACGAGACGCGAAAAGGTCGATGTACATCGGGCCCCAAAGCGTTTGAAGTCGTAGGAATGTTTCGTGATCCATTCGCCAATCGCTGGCGTCTCGCAGATGTCTGGAGTTCCAATCTGCTATTATATTGGACAGGCTGGGAATGTATTCCGCTTGGACCGAAATATTGCGATCCAGGCAGTATTGCCAAAACTCCTTGGCCAGGTCCGTCAGGATCCTTGATTTCGTGGCACCGAGGTGGTTGATGTAGCGGACTGCAGATATATTGTCCATTCGCAGCACAATCAAGCAGTTGGTCGCGGCCCAGAGGAGGCTCTTCAGGGCAAAGGACCCAGGCCGTTGATGTGCATTTCTTTTTCTGAGTATGACCATATTCCTCCGGTGGAGATAGGCACGCAGCGCGCTCCCCAACCGCGCCTACTCTCATCAAACTCTATGATGAAGTCCGGGGCAGTTCCGAAGATCGCTCTGCCGTTCCATGCTTCCATGTGTTGCAGCCACCAGGTGAGTTCCTGTTTGGCTTCGTGGTTGAGTGGAAGGGAGTCAGAGTATGAGTGACCCAAACGTAAATACGTGGCTTTTAGCCGTTGTAGGGCCCTGTAGTGAAGAGGTCCCGGATAAATCACCTGGATGGAGGCTGAGAGGAGGCCGATTATTCTGGCAAGTTGCCGTAAGGTTAATATTGGGCATACAAAATGTGAACCGAGACTAGCGTTTATTATAAAACAAATGTGAAACAATATATATTATAAATCTCAAACTCATAAACCTCAAATATTACAATAAATAATCCACTTAAACATATAAAAATGAGCTGCTAAACATTCATGTGACTCCTTACAATATCACCAATAAGAGAAAAAAAAAAAGTAAAATAAAGAATGTAGCGCTTTAAAAGTAAATATCACCTTTAAGTTGCAGGAGGAGAAAATATTCATTAATGTCCCAGGTTACATAAAATCTACAAAAAATAATCACAACATAGTATAGACCGTAGATAATTTAGACATTAATATGTAAGACAAGAAAATGTCCTGCGGATCTCCTTCTTGATGTTCTTGACCTTGGGCGGTAGACTGACCGTTCCCTTTGTCGTGTCTATGTTGAATCCCAGAAACTCCATGGTTTGGGACGGGGTTAATATCGACTTTTTCCAATTGATTAAAAATCCTAAACTTTGTAGAAGGGACAGTGTCCAACAAAGGTGTTGCCGAAGCTGGTGGACATTGTGTGCCATGATCAGCATATCGTCCAGATATATGATCATCCGTACACCCCTGCTGCGTAGGAGAGTGACCATGGGTTTCAACAGTTTGGTGAAGCACCACGGGACCGATGAGAGTCCAAAGGGGAGGCACTGGAATCCCCACGTCGTCTCTTCCCATTGGAATTGGAGAAGGTGTTGACAGCCTTCGGCGATGGGAAGTGTGAGATAGGCATCCTGTAGGTCTAGTTTGACCATCCAGTCCCCCAATCTGAGGAGGTCCTGAAGGCAATGGATTCCCTCCATTTTGAAGTGGTGGTACCGCACAAATGCGTTTAGGGGGCGCAGGTTGATGACCGGTCGCACCCCACTGCCTTTCTTGGGCACCAGAAAAAGGTTGCTCATGAAACTGGGGGAAGATGGCGGGACCTGATAGATGATTTTCTCGCTTACCTACTATCCGGAGTGGTCTGGAGGTTTGGACAGGGTGTTGTACAAATTTGATATGGTAACCTAGGATAGTGTTTCGGACCCAAACATCTGTCGTCAATCTGCGCCAAGCCTCTACAAAGTGAAACAGTCTGCCCCACACCATTGACACCATTGACATACACAGGGAAGGGGATGATAGAACACTCGGCCATACGTGGTGCCCCTGGTCCTTCGCGACTGCCACGATCTGCCCCTGACCAGGAAGAAGGGCGAAGGGGACTTGTTCTCTGGGGGCTGGAATCTAGGCGTGGCCTCGGTATTCCCAGTAGGAACCTCGGGAAGAATGGCCAGGTAGACGGTCCCGATGTCTGCCGGCCCCACCAAAAATTTTGGGAGAGAACACTCTCTTCATGCTTGTTTGTGCCTTGTCTAAAGCCATAAAGGTATTGACGTAGGCACCCCATTTATGAAGTGATCTCCAAAAAGGAGGCCTTTTGCCTGTTGCCCAGGCTCAGATATGGCCATGTTAACCAGTTTCGGCTCAATTTTTATAAGGATAGCCTTCCGCCACTCAGTGGCCAGTGCGGATTTAGCATTGCTGATAAGGCATATACAGCGTTGGACCCATCCCCTAATGGCCAGTAGATCAATTGGGGTCCCATCGATTAAGGCCGCTTCGGCCATTTCGAAGATTTTTGCACTAGGGCCTAATGTGTCCAGCACTTTGTCCTGGCAATGGCGTAAGGAGTAGTCAAGCCCCTGTTTAGCCTTCCAGCCATATTTTCCCAGAAATTGGGCCACTTTGGGGTCTAGGGCATTCCGCCCTAAGCTTATTCCTTGTGGCCTTATCCAGGTGTTTCCTGATCCTGGCCGCTATATATCGTGCCACGTGCTCGGTCAGGAACCATTCAGCCGACCTCGGGTTTTCCAAAGCGTCGGGGTCAAACAGGGGTTCACCCTGTGGGTCTAGGATAGCAGATGCTTCCGCGGTATCATTAGTGGCTATGACCGCTTTGCGTGCCAGGCTACGGTCCGGAGAGGAAACCTTCGATTCACTGGAGCCGATATCATCGGACTCGTTCGAGACCTCCTCAGAATCCGAACAAGATTCAGAAGAATCTCTTGGGGCTTTTGCTCTTTTCCATGTCCGCGCCGCTTTTGCCTGCCGGGTGGCTCTTTTTTGTGGGGGCCCCACGACCTCAGTGGTGACAGGACACAACCTGTCTGTCAATTCAGTTTTGGAGGCATGCACGCACGTGGTGGATATGTTATTCGACATTGTCCCCATTGCGGATTAGTTAGCCTGGGTGACCGATTTGGTCATTGTAGCGTCCAGGAGCGAGTGGAACTCCTCTGAGTTCATTTGCTCCACTGGAGTTACCTCTTCCCCTGGGCACTAGCAGGGGTTTAAGTGACAGAGCAAGACTACACAGTACAATAATATGTAAGAGCAGTGAAATACAGTTCTGTCTGTCAATCTTCCAGTGTCTGATCACACACTGCAGTGACATGTAAGAACAGGCACAGGCAAGGCACAAGAACAAACTGAGCTGTCAGCTTACCAAGTGTTCCCTCAGGAATGGCCGCTGGGGAGCACTGGCAAGCTGACAGTCAGGAGTAAGGACCAATCAGCCCGCCCCCGCCGCTTAATGAGCCGCGCGAGCTGAGGAAAAGCGTGGCAAAATACTTTGCCACACACAATATGGCCGCCGTAATGCGCAGCAGCGACTGTGCAAGCGCGAGCAGCACCCGATCGCGGAATGGGCCCAGATGGAATGGACACTCACACCACCCTCACTCACACACACACTGCATCCCTGACACTCACAGCTCCCTCACACACACACACACACCCTGCACCCCTGACACTCACAGCACCCTCACTCACACACACACTGCACGCCTGACACTCACACACACTGCACCCCCTGACATTCTCACAGCTCTCTCACACACACACACACTGCACCCCTGACACTCACAGCACCCTCACACACACAGCTTCCTCACATGCACATAGCACCCTCATGCAAACACAGCACCCATCAGTCACACACAGCACACACACACACTGCACCCCTCTTGCGCGTGCACACCCACACAGCACCCTCACACACACACACTGTACAATACTCTTTCCTGGCATTTTTGTCTCCTGGTATCCCATCTATGGAGATACCAGAGACAAATTTCAAGCAATCAGTGCAAGCATGTTATTAAATTTGCTTGCACTGTGCAGAACAAATACAGGGTCTTTTTCTGATGCTAGAGCTCTGCGCATGGTCTTCCCTGGACCTCCATTGAACCAACATGCTCACTTTGTGATGGGGTGTGCTTGTCATCTGGCCCTGCCCCCTTTTTAGTGGGTCGCTGTAATTAAAAAATTGCCCGGGTCGAATTGTCTTCCCAGTCCAGCCCGGTCCATATACAATGCTTTCCTAGTAATGCATATGATAGGGTTTGGTCTGATGAATCTGTGTTAACAGCTTCTAATCATAAAAATATGTTTACACACACAAATATTTATAGTTGTTTGATGAATGCTTGTCACCATATAGCAAGCTTTGTACAGACACATCATACCTTATTGCCAGCACAGCATACGCAAATCACATCTTTTTTCAAACATAACATAGGGACATGACATCATATGTGCCAGACTGCAGATTAAAAAAACAGCCCCGGAAATAATTTTATACCAGCCCCATAACATTGCGTCATTATGCAGCCCCATATCATAACATTTTCTTCAAGTAAAACCATGCATTCTAAAGAACATTTGAAGAGTGTATTATTTAAAGATAAGACTGATAAATACCCCTGCACAGGGCAATATATATCCCCAGTATGTGCACAAGATTAAATTAATTGCCCTGAACATGGGTGTATACCAGAGCAGTGTGTGAGATATAACCTTGTGTACATTCTGAGGGCATATGTTGACTTAACCCAGCACACAGATTGAACTCAAGGGGCTTGCACCAGCACCTGGGACTTACCCTTGCGCGGAGATGGCACTTACAAGACACCCAAGACTTACACCAGCATTGAGATTGCACTCACAGGACTTGTCCCAGCACTCAGGTCTTAGCCTAGCATGGAGATTGCACTCACGGGACTTGTCCCAGAACCCACCCCAGCACTTCGATTGCACTTCCAGGATCTTCCCTCAGCACCCAGGACTTACACAGACACTGAGATTGCACTCACAGGACTTGCCCCAGCACCCAGAACTTACCCTAGCATGGAGATTGCACTCACAGATTCCCTCCAGGATTTCTAACGGCCTCCTGCAGGCACCACATTAGGTGCTGGATATAATATTTCCAGCAGCAACAAAGGTGACATCACATCTTGTGGCTGCATCTGCATCCCTACACATCTGAACTTTTAAAGTAGCCACAACCAGAGGCATAACTAGAATCCACTGGGCCCCGATGCAAAAATTGCCCTGGGGCCCCCCTCCCATGTGTCTTATCCCCCCCCCTCGGTGTCTCATTCCCACTCCCAGGCCCCCACATGTGCCTCATTCCCTCTGCCCCACAGCCCCTCCATGTGTCCCATTCCCTCTCCCCCTCAGCCTCTTCATGTGTCCCATAGGCTCCTCCTCCTTCACCTCATTCATGTGTTCCATCCCCTCTCCCCTTAGCCCCTCCATGTTTCTCATACCCTCCTCCCTACCAGCCCCTCCATGTTTCCCATTTTTCCTTCTCCCCCCCTGTGTCCCATACCCTCCCTCTCTCCCCCTTCCTTCCATGTATCTCATACCCTCACTCCCTCCTCCCCTCCCTTCCATGAGTCCCAAACCCTCCATCTCTCCCCCGTCCCCTCCATGTGTCCCATTGTTCCTTCTCTCCCAACGCCCTCCAGGTGTCCCATGCCCTTCATCTCTCCCCCCTTCCCTCCCTGTGCCTCATTCCTACCTCTCTCCCCTCCCTTTGTCCCATACCCTCCCTCTCTCTCCTCCCTGTGTCCCATTTCTCCCTCTCTCCCCCCTTCCCTCCAGGTGTACCATACCATCCATTCCTCCCCTCCCTGTGTCCCATACCCTCCATCTCTCTCCCCTTCCTGTGTCCCATTGTTCCATCTCTCCCCCTCCCCTCCAGGTGTCCCATACCTTCCATTTCTCCCCCTCCCCTCCCCATTTCTCCCAGTGTCCCCATGTCTCAGGGTGTCCCGTGTCACTAGGATACTAGGGGACACGGAGAGACATGGGGACACAGAGACCCAGGGACAGAGACACTTGGGGACACTGGGAGACATGGGGGCACTGAGACATTTGGGGACACTGGGAGACATGAGGGCACTTGTGGATACAGACATGGGGACACTGGGAGACATGGTGACACAGACATTTGAGGACACTGGAAGAATTGGGGTCACAGACACTAGGGACACAGAGACATGAGGACACAGACACTGGGGGATATGGGGACACAGACATTTGGGGAAACTAAGAAACTAGGGACACTGAGAGACATGGGGACACAGACACTGGGAGACTAGGGGACACTGGGAGACATGGGGACACTGAGACCCTAGGGACACTGGCTGGGAGGCATGGGGACACATACACTTGGGTACACTGGGAGACATGGGGGAACTTGTGGACAAGTGTCTCAGTGTCCCCACGTCTCCTAGTGTCTCGGTGTCCCCATGTGTCCCATAGTGTCTCAGTATCCCGATGTCTCCCTTTCCCCCATCGTTCAATAACCTAAGCTGTAGGCTGTCTCTGCAGGCTGTGAGCTGCTGTCTGGACTCTCTGTCTGGACTCTCTGTGCTGTAACTTTCTATCCCTGCCTCTCTCCATACGCAGTGACCCCTACTGGCCGGTGCTGGTATTGCAGAGTAATCTCCGTTTATACTGAGAAAAATATTTGCATTTGTATTGCCGGTATTACTGCAGTACCGTCATGGCCAGGTAGCCTCAAATATCGGCTTTTTTTTTTTTAATGGGCCTATTCCATGAGCCTGTGCCTGGACCTGCAGCTCCATCTGCCCCTAGGTTAATCCGGCCCTGAGAACAGTGCAGCTCTCCCTTCCTGCCAGACCTCTGGGAACCGCGGACCCGGGCCAGTGAGGCTGTGCACCAACCCATAAGGTATCCAGACGGCCCATGGTCGCAGGGAGTGGAGTGAGGGGCCCGGTCACAGCTGCGACCCCTGCGACCGTGGTAGGTATGCCAGTGACTGCAGCCAAATTCTTAAAGGCCGCATCCCACAGGGCATTCCGGACTCTGAAATCATATTACAAACAGGAGTCTTACTGGTGTCACTACATTTTTTTTTAATAACTAACAAATACGTTGCTTGTGATATATTTGGTTGAGTGTAATGGGGACTGTGTGTGATGGTATTGGGCTTTATATGTGTGATGGAAACTGTGGGCTCTATGTGATAAGTATGTGTGTGATCGCTTTGTGCTGTCAATGTGTGATGGGGACTGCTTTCGTGTGTGGACTCGCTGACTGTGTATGGCGGGACTGTGTTTGTCTTTGTGTGATAGTAATAACCACTGAAGACTGGATAGCATCATGTAACTGTTCATCTGTCACTCCTCAATTCTCTGCTATTTAGGAGTTAAATCAATTTGTTTATGGAGCCTTAGTCACACCTCCTTGCATGTGAGTTGCACAACCTTCCTAAACAGTGCCTGTAAAGAGACATCTAATGTTTAAACTTACTTAAAGGACCACTCTAGGCACCCAGACCACTTCAGCTTAATGAAGGGGTCTGGGTGCCAGGTCCAGCTAGGGTTAACCCATTCTTTTATAAACATAGCAGTTTCAGAGAAACTGCTATGTTTATGAATGGGTTAAGCCTTCCCCAAAGCCTCTAGCGGCTGTCTCATTGACAGCCGCTAGAGGCGCTTGCGTGCTTCTCACTGTGATTTTCACAGTGAGAGCACGCCAGCGTCCATAGGAAAGCATTGATAATGCGCGTGCGCATTCAGCCGACGGAGAGGAGCAGCGCTGGAAAAAGGTAAGTTTTTACCCCTTTCCCCCTTCCAGAGCCGGGCGGGAGGGGGACCCTGACGGTGGGGACACCCTCAGGGCACTATAGTGCCAGGAAAACGCGTATGTTTTCCTGGCACTATAGTGGTCCTTTAAGTCAGGGCTCGGCAAATCCCAGGAGCAGGTCGCCATGGCGACTAAATATTTTGTCCTGGCACCTGGGATTGGTCAGTCCGTTCCCTCCTCCTCCTGTCTCGATCCCCGTGCAGCGCTGTGTGTGCCGGGAGGAAGTGAAGAACTGTAATTACTTCCTCCCGGTGCAGAGGCGTTGCAGGGGAATGGCAAGCTAACCTGGCAGGACATCAGGTAAAGACAGCTCTGCTCCATTGCCGCAAATCCCATCCTGCTTGCCTCCCGCCGACATGCCGCAGAGCCGATACTGCTCCCCGCCCTTCTACCGCCTCATGCCACAGAACCGGCCAGCCGCTCTTTACCCTGTGTGACCTCAGTGCCAGGAGGAAGTTATTACAGTTCACTTCCTCTCTGTGCACATGGGGCTGGAGAGACAGGAGTAGGTGGAAGCAGGGAGTCTGGAACAGCGGCAGCCAGCCCCACTAACTAGATGTCACCTACTGCTGTCCAGTCCCACTGGATCCCAGGGGAGCCACCTTCCTGAGCTGAAAAGGTAGGAGGGAATCTAAAAATATGTATTTTTCTTTTCTAATTTCTGTGTGTCTGTCATGTGTGTATGTCTGTATGTGTATTTGTCTGTGTATGTATGAATGTTCGTGTTTGTGTGTGTATATATTTGAGTGTATCAATAATAATACTTTGTGTGTGTGTCTGTCTCTGGCAGGTGTGTGCCTGTCAGTATGTCAGTGTCAGTCTCCGTGTCTCTGTCAGTCTCCGTGTCTCTGTCAGTGTGTGTGTGTTCGTATCTGTCAGTGTCTCTGTCTCTCTCCGTGTCTGTCTCTCTGTGTGTGTGTCTGTCAGTATGTGTGTGTGTGTGTGTCTGTCTGTCAGTGTGTGTGTCAGTCCGCGTGTCTGTTAGTGAATGTTTAGGTCACCAGTCCTCTCTGATCGCATTGGGAATTATGTTTTTATTCATCTTTTACCCAGCGCCATACCGGTCTCGCTGCAGCTGGCCCACCTCTGTAGCTCAGATTATCAATTACCAATCAGCATCTCCTCATACAGATGCATTAAATCAATTAAAAGCATCTCTATGGGTAACGTTCAGCGCCTCCATGCAGAGCATGGAAACGCTGAATGTAGGTGCTGCTCATTGTGGACTAAGATAGCAGACACACACAGAGACACAGACACACACACATACATACAGAGACACACATACATAAAGAGACACACACATACAGAGACATAGACATATACAGAGACATACACACACATACATACAGAGAAACACACACACACACATACACAAAATGTTTCCTACCTTGTTACTTTCCCTGGGGTCCAGTGGTGGCTCTGCCTGATGGGAGTCAGAGTTCCCACTCTGACTCCCTCCTCCTCCTTCCTCCCGCGCGGGCTCTCAGTATGCTGGGAGGAGTGACCAGGGAATCACTTCCTCCCAGCTCTGATGTAATCACACGGGGCCCGGTCGCGCTCTTAAAGTGCCCAGCGCAGACCGGGCCCCCTCACAATCCATGCCCATCGGGTGGCCCTGACAGCATGGACCCCTCCATATGCGGCCCCGGCGGTTTGCCACACGGGCTGGGGCCACAAAATGTGGCAGCAGGCCTGGTACCCGGTCGCAGGGGTCCGCAAGGCGGCCGGGCCCCCTGGAGTGCCGCTGTGACCCCTGCGACCGCGGTATGTACGCCGCTGAATATGAGTGAAAAAGGTATATTCACTAGCAGGGCAACTCAAAGTGAGAATTAAAAATGCATTTCAGAGCATAGCTGACTTAGCAAATGTTTCTAGATCAGCTATTTTTACCTTAAATTTGGAATTCACTTTTGAATTTTCACTTTATTCAATAACCATGTAAATTTGTTTTTTTTGTTCTATCATTTCTTTGTGTGCAGTAGTATATTGTACACTAGAGGGTGCCATACACCTCTATTACAACAATGAAAATCAGTATTTGTCTGTTTTAATAAGAATTAAATAATAGATTATGATATCTGCACTCTAGCTGATAACTAAAATGAATAAATGCACATATAGTAAATAAGCCCGTTCACCCACAAAAACAAACTACAAGGACAATTGGCATCACAGTTGATTTTAGCTTCCACGAAAGGATTTCAAAGTGTAAATCTGCTTCTTCTCCCCAACTCCTCTCTGTTGGTGTCCCCCAAGGTTCAGTCCTTGGTCCCCTACTGTTCTCCATCTATACTGCCTCCCTTGGTAAACTCATTAGTTCCTATGGCTTCCAATATCATTTCTATGCAGATGACACGCAAGTCTACCTGTCCTCTCCTGATCTCTCCCCGTCCCTCTTGACTAGTGTCTCTGACTGCCTCTCTGCTGTTTCTAACTGGATGGCTGCCCACTTCCTTAAACTAAACTTGACCAAAACTGAAATTCTGGTCTTTCCTCCCTCAAGTGTTGTTACTCCTGTGTCTGTCTCCCTCCAAGTCAACGGTGCTACCATCAGCTCCACCACGCAGGCTCGCTGCCTAGGTGTTCTCTTTGACTCCGACCTCTCCTTCAAGCCTCATGTTCAATCTATCGCCAAATCCTGTCATTTCCATCTCAAAAACATTGCGCGCATCCGCCCCTACTTAACGCCAGATGCAACTAAGGTGTTGGTCCATTCCACTGTCCTTTCTCGCCTTGACTACTGTAATCCGCTTCTCAGTGGTCTTACGTGCACCCAACTTGCGCCGTTACAGTCCATAATGAATGCGGCGGCGAGGCTCATCTTCCTGTCCGCCCGCACCTCCCATGCCTCACCCTTCTGTCAGTCCCTACATTAGCTTCCTATAAAATATAGAGCTCAATTTAAAATTCTGGTGCTTGCTTTCAAATCTCTACATAATGCTGCTCCCACTTATCTATCCTCCCTTATACACAAGTATTTCCTGTCTAGGCCCTTACGATCTGCTGAAGACTTACGTCTATCTTCTGTCCGCAGTCCCACCTCTGATGCTCGCCTTCAAGATTTTTCGAGGGCTGCACCGTTCCTGTGGAACTCGCTTCCCTCCTCCGTTAGATGCTCACCCAGTCTCCACTCCTTCAAAAAATCGTTAAAAACCCACTTTTTCATAAAAGCGTATCAATTAAACTGTTAAAAGCTCCTGACTGATTCCTCTTCTGCAACTGTCACTAGTCTAATACTATCCTTACCTTTTGTGTCATTTTACCCCACTCCCTCTAGCATGTAAGCTCATTGAGCAGGGCCCTCAACCCCTCTGTTCCTGTGTGTCCAACTTGTCTGGTTACAACTACATGTCTGTTCGTCCACCCATGCCGGAATTTGACGGCGCTCTATAAATATCATAATAATAATAATAATAATAAATAGTACATTCTCCCAGGATTATTCACTAAAGTCCGAATGTCCTCATACCGAATCATACGGTGCTCTACGGGGCCATTCATAATGCCAAATACAAACATTGTTCATGCTATTTAACAATGTTAGGATTCTGCAGAAAAGGCTCCATACGAGCCTAATTATGGTCTGGATTTTATTTGAACTGTATGCTGCCGGACGACTGAATTTTGGACCTGAATGCTCCAAATTTAAAAAAAAATCTGAACTATTTGCAAGCTGGGAGCCCTGCAAGGGTTAATGAAGTGCTTGTTACCCTAAAAAGCCTAATGACTTTAAGGGAAGTTAGAAACCTCCTTTATTCCCCTACCTGCTATGGCACAGGCTGGGCCATATCTACTAAACAATGAGCAGCCAGCAATTGCGCATGTAAAAATATTGACTGGGCAGCCATTTCGCTCCAGTCACTAGAAATGCCTCATCCATTGGGAATGGGGCATATAAAATGTAGCGGAGCTCAAATAACCTGACTGGGTATCTCCGCTGAATAGCAGGAAGCAGGAAGAAGCGCTATTTAGTGACTAGCTCTATTCCACCCATTAGAAGACGGAGCATGGAGTCTCCGTTCAGGGGAGGGCTGGCAGCCTTAGCCTTGGGGGGCAAATCCAGTCAAGGGGCCCATTGCACCACCGAATCAGCTCACCATCCATGCCCACCTTTTCCTTGCATTAAAGCAGATATTGATGTTATGAAGCAAGACAAATATGATACAATGTGGTTTAACAATTTAATTGTAATGGCAACAAAGGATGTTTAACAAAAATAAAATCTACAGTTTTTACAAATGAACAATGTATGTACACAATACACTTAAAGAATATGTGATAAATTTAGGAGTATGAATAAACCTTCTCACTAGAGTTGAGCGGACACCTGGATGTTTGGGTCCAGGCTCGAACTTGACCCCGAACCCCACTAAAGTCAATGGGGACCCGAACTTTTGGGCACAAAAATGCCTCTAAAAAGTCCTGGAAAGGGCTAGAGGGCTGCAAAAGGAAGTAAAATGGGGGTAAGAGTAGGACAAGTGCCCTGCAAACAAATGTGGATAGGGAAATCACTTAAAATAACATTAAATACCTAAAAATTTAAAATACAGCTGAGCCATAAAATAGCACTAGATGGAATCTTTGATTTTAGCTTTGGAAGAACACAAATCAAAATCTAAAGCATGGCTGTCAGGAGGATCACCAGAATTATCCATTTAAGAGAGGGTTGGAGTGCAAGGTATTCTCTTTCATTGTTCAAACTGAGCTCAACTCCTGATGCATGGAGAAAATGCCTTCACAAGCCTCTGCTATTGTGTACATAGTTTATACTTAGTGACCCATAGGTTGAGGAGGCTGTGACCGTGGCAGTGTAGGTGGAAGCGACGGTGGAGGAGGTAGCCAACACTGTTTTTTATTTATTTAAAAAAAAAAAAATTTAATTGCTAACCCTGCCTTCTGAGGTGCTGGTGGTGCCCCAGCTGTGTTGGCGACCTCTTCCTCCTCCTCTGCCTTCGCCTTGTGCTTCCACTGAGGCCCCAGTGTCAGTTGGGAATGCCCTCAGCAGTGCGTCTACCTGGGTGTGCTTGTAGTCGCGCATCTTCCGATCACGCTCCAGTGAGGGAATTAAGGACAGCATGTTGTCCTTGTAACGGGGATCCATCAGGGTGGCCACCCAGTAATCAGCACAAGTTAGAATGTGGACAACTCGGCAGTCGTTGCGCAGGCACTGCAGCATATAGTCGCTCATGTATGCCAGGCTGCCCAGAGGCAAGGACAAGCTGTCCTCTGTGGGAGGTGTATCGTCTGTGTCCTCCGTATCCCCCCAGTCATGCTCCATTGGGTGCCACCCTCCTGTGAACACGGTTCCTCCTCCTCATCCTCATCATCTTCCTCCTCATCCTCCAGAACTGTGCCCTGGCTGGACAATTGTGTACCTGACCTATGCTGGTGCAGGAACCCACCCTCCAAGCCACTTGTGAATGACTGGCCAGATAACCGTGGAAATGACCCCTCTTCCTCCTGTGCCACATCCTCTTCCATCATCACCCAAAGCATTTTTTCAAGGAGACATAGAAGCTGGATAGTAAGGCCAAGAACGGCATCATCGGCACTGGCCATGTTGGTGGAGTACTCGAAACAGTGCAAAATGGCACACAGGTCTCGCATGGAGGCCCACTCATTGGTGGTGAAGTGGTGCTGTTCCGCAGAGCGACTGACCAGTTCGTGCTGCATCTAAAACTCCACTATCGCCTGCTGCTGCTCGCACAGTCTCTCCAGCATGTGCAAGGTGGAGTTCCACCTTGTGGGCACGTCGCATATGAGGCAGTGAACGGGATGCCGAAGTTACGCTGCATCACAGACAGGCTAGCAGCAGCAGGCTGAGAATGCCAAAAGCGCGCACAGACGGCCCGCACTTTCTACAGTAGCTCTGATATATCTGGGTAGTTTTTCAGGAATTTCTGCACCACCAAATTCAGCACATGCACCAAGCAAGGGATGTGCGGCAAACCGGCTAGGCCCAGAGCCGCTATGAGATTTCGCCCATTATCGCACACCACCAGGCCGGGCTTGAGGCTCAGTGGCAACAACCACTCATCGGTCTGTTGTTCCATGGTGGTGGTAGAGGTGGAGGAAGCGGAGTAGGAGGAGGAGGCAACAGGAGGCAAAGAGAAA